GTAGTGAGGACGTAGCCTAGCTTACAACACTCCTGCTAATACAATCACTATACTATGAATCGCCCCTGGGTCTTCTCTTTATCCCTCTGCATTAGGCAGGCTGCCTCCTCCTCCACTTCACGGCCGGGGCCCAGCAGGGGGAGCACTGAGAACACAGGAGAGACCGTCTCCCTGCTCTCCACTCTGGAGCCTGACAGGACAGCAACCCCCAGGAGGAGCAATTGCAGGAAAAGTCCTAGACCCTACAGTCCTGGGCTGGAGCATGCTCTGTGCAGACAGACTCTTCAGAGAATAACACTTGCAGCCTCTAACAAACCTCTACTGAGCAAGTGCAAAGTGCAGTTTGCATTGGTGTGTAACTAGGCCGTATGTGGGTGGATTTTCGCAGGGACAGCAAAAGGCATGTCCCTGACACAAGGGAGATAAACTAGGGTTACCATATTTAAAAAATAAAAAAAGAGGACACTCCACGGGGCCCTGGCCCCGCCCCTTTCCCACCCCGCCCCCGCCCCAACTCCACCCCTTCCCCGCCCCTTCCCTCCCCTTCCCCAAAGTCCCCACCCTAACTCCGCCCCCTCCCCTGAGCGCCCCGCATTCCCCCTCCTCCCTCCCAGCCATGCGAAAAGGGCTGCCCGAGCGCTACTGGCTTCACGGTTTGCCGGGCAGCCCCCAGACCCTGCGCCCCCGGCCGGCGCTTCGCCAGCGCAGCTGGAGCCCGGGAGGGGAAGCGCCCAGCCGGGGGCGCAGGGTCTGGAGGCTGCCCGGCAAACCGTGAAGCTGGTAGCGTTCGGGCTTCGGGCAGCTCGGCGCTTACAGAGCCCAGGAGTCAGGGAGCACAGCAGCCCCTGGCGCCCGCTCTAAGGTAAGCCAGGGAGTATTTTTCCCGGACATGTTCGGCTTTTTGGAAATTCCCCTGGACGGGGGTTTGATTACCAAAAAGCCGGACATGTCCGGGAAAAACCGGACGTATGGTAACCCTAGATAAACATTTCCCCCTCCCCTGCCAAATTTCTAAAGCACAGGGGCTACAACCACAAAGGGATTTAGGCACCTAACGGCCAGTTTAGGCACCTAAGTCCAAAATTTAGAACCTCAAAACCCCTGCTCAGCTGCTGCCAAAGGCTGTAGGCCCCTGAATCCTCTGGGTGCCTCTGTTTCTCCTGGTAGTCTCCTAGGCACCTAAATCCCTGTGGGTGGGTGTGCGCACAGCTGTCCAAGGCCTGACACCTGGCACCCGGCTAATGCCTAAACCCAATGGGATTCACAAACTAGACAGTACCCACCTATCTCACCTGCGGGGCCATATCTGATGGCCAAGCCAAGAAGCTGCCTTAGAGCATATGTACTGGATTGGGTCCCATGCAAAGAGGTGGCATTGCCCTTCCCCTATAGGCCTAGGGTGACCAGATGTCCCTATTTTATAGAGACAGTCCTGATATTTGGGGCTTTTTCTTCTATAGGCGCCTATTACCCCCAAGGTGGAATAGCTTCAGCAGGAGTACTTGAATGTGACCTACCCTCTGTAGCCCAGTGGCTAGGAAGTAGGAGCTTTGGGTTCAAATCAGACAGACTCTGTAACTCCCACATCCTGGGTGAGTGCCCTACTGGCCAGGGAATACAGAAGGTGGTGGTGTCAACACCCCTTCTCCCCCTAATTTTTTTCCCCCCAAGAAAGAGCTGATCCAGGTTAGGTGCCCAACTCCAGGAGAGAGTCCCAGCAGAGAATCCCGAGCACAGACAGACACCTAAATCCGGGTCGGAGGGAGACACCTACGTCCCTTTGAGGGGCGGGGCTTTAGTCACCTGCCACTCCTTGGCTGGTTTAGGCAGCTCCCGCTCAGCCTGCTGGCTTTTGTGAATCCCGGTCTTAGGCACCTAACGTTCCTCTTGCACTGTATGGGGACCCTGAATGCCCAACTTGAGGCTGTGGATTCTGCTGGACAGCAGGGAACCTAAAAGTTGGGCTCAGCAGTGCGGTGCCTAAGTCCCCTTTGTGGGTCTTGCCCTAGAGCTTCTCAAAAAAGTGGTGGCAAGAATTCTTGAGCATGAGCAAAACAACCTATTTCTTCCTAGCTTCATTCTTGGAAATGGCTGAACTGTTTCTACTGAAACTTACCAAACAATTCAGTCTGAAGCTGATACCTGGCCTGGGAAATTTCACCCTGAATTTCAGGCTAAGTTATAAGCAACTGAAAACAGGGTCTTATAATGGAAAGTGTCAAACAACCTTAATAATAAGTGGTCCTATAAGAATGAATGAGCCAGAGCACAAGAGCTTACCCTTGTCTCTTAACACAAGAATAGGGGGGGTATTCCATGAAATTTAAGGAAATACTTTTTCACATTAGGCACGATTAGACTCACTGCCACAGGCTTTCATTGAGGCCAAGAAATTAACAAGATTCCCCCCACAAAAAATATAAAAGTCTGGCATTCTACTAGTTAATTCTAACAACAGTTTTGACAGGGATAGAACACCTCATGCTCCAGGCTGAGCCAATCTCTAATTCGTAGGCACTTGCCCCTTAAAAAACAAACAACTGATCTTGACTGTTTCTGTGTCTGGACAACTCCAAAATGGGTGAACCTTAAATTCTCACACTCTGCCAGTGGCAAGGCCCCCAAAGGGGAGAGGAAGATGGGAAAATATTTTGTTGGTCCCGATGCAGTCTCAGCATGAAATGTCTCTGAAGGATTTCGTTCCACAGGGGCCTGTGGCTCCGTGGATTCCCGCTGGGCCTGATTCCCTACTGCACAGCACCCCAGCTGCAGCATGAAGCTGAGAACATGTTCCAGTGCGTGCCTCAGACAGCCGCCTTTGAGGCTCACCTGGAAAGCCTGGCCTGGCGCGAAAGGCAGGGTGGAGAGGTGCCTCTCCTCTGAGCCCCACGTGCCGTGCGTTTGGGTGTTCCGAACCAGCGCCCTCTCCCTCAGCCGTGGGTTGATGTGCAGGGCGATGTTGCCGGTCATGCTGTTTTTCAGATTGATTTGAAAGCTATGAGGAGGGAGAAAGGGTTTGGTCAGAGCTTTTCATGACAAGGGTGCAGGGAGAAATGTACCAGGATGGTGCACACTGGAGAGTGGGACAAGACCCGTGTCCTGTAGCCAGGGCCACCTTCAACACCCCCCCGCCCCCACCCCTCTGGGCACTGGAGTTCCTATCCCCAGCTCCTGGCAATTCCTATCCCAGCCTGGACTTTCCCATCTGCCGTCAGCATCTTGTGACCAGACCACTCTGCTTGTGGAGCAGGAATATTAGGGAAGGGTGATTGCATCCCGCTGGGCCTGGTGCGTAGCGGTTGCCTCACAAATGAAGACAAAAGGTTTTGTTTGTCACATGCTGCGTGCAGCAACCCACCCCTTCCCCCCCCCCCATTTCTAAAGCATTGTTGCTTGGTGAGTCTCCTGCCCACCCCCACCCCTATCCCAGGCTGTAACCTATCAGCTGCGTTTGTGTGATGGTGGGTGCAAACCAGCCCACGCACATGGGCCCAAGGCCCCCATGTTCCCCTCCAGGCTGCATCAGAAACCCACCTGTTTGCATGGAAAGGCACGTTCCCCACAATGGAGATCTTGCGAGTCCGGGAGATACTCCCTGGGATGGCCACTTGGAATGGGACGACCTGAAAAGAGGGCGCAAAATCTCATAGGCCACAGTCCTTCCCCACAGCAGCCAAGCGTGGGGAGCCAGGGGAGGCTGTCCTAACCCCAGATTGGGGTTAAAGGCTGACAGGCCTGGGGTCGGGGATGGAATGGCTCAGGGAGAGGGGGCACCTCCATTCCTGCCAGGCCCTGGAAGGCCAGCGCCGCAGGAGGGGGGTTGTCACTGGCTCTGTTGGTCAAGGATTGGTTGTGTCCCGACCAGTGGCTCAGCTAGGTGCAGCCCCTACACCGCTGCCCTGGGGCAGAGAGCTGAGCAAGGAGCTGCCCCCACCCTGCGGCTGTGCTCCTGCCGTACGTATGGACCAGCTGCCTCAGTCCACACGCGCTTGCGCAGGCCCAGTTCCTCTGGTGCCACTTCTGTGCAGGCCAGGCCAGCGGCACTCGCTGGGCAGCACAGTGGCTTTTAGGTCATATTGTTATGAGCAACTGAGATGGGGGCTGAGGCTCTGGACTAAGCCAGGAGCGATTCCAGGGCTGGGGGGAGGGGGGGGGCGGCTCCTGCTCAGATAAGCCCCTGACCCGGCTGTCACTAGTTCCTTCTCGCTGTTTGGCTGGGTACTCACCGGGTTGGTCACAGTCATAGGAGTGTTGTGCTGAGGAGAGAAGACACGAAGGCAGTCAGAACAGTCCCTCAGACATCACTGTGTAACACCCCCCCAGTCTGTGCTGGCTGGGGAGCGCCAGTGGCCCAGCCACTGGCAGGAGGCCCCAGCACTTCTCTGGTGTGGAGACAGTACCAGGCCTCCCCTGTTCTTTGACAGGCCATTGGCAAGGGCACTGGGCACAAACCTACCTCTCTGCAGGGCGCAGGGAAGGCCGTGCGGGTTTCTCCTTAAAATAAAGGCCTCGGCGCCCTTTTCTCCCCAGAAGGGAGTCAGGGTCTGCTGCTCAGGGTTCACGAGCACCCCTACAATAACAAACCAGCACTCTTGTCCTGAGCAGCCCGGGCATTCCTGCTGCCGGTGGGTGAACCCCAGCCCAGCTCTCAGCATTGTCACCGTTCCCAGAAATGCTCTCAGTAGCATTCAGCTTGTGAACTGGACAGTCGGGCACACGTCCCTCCTATGCGCTCTGCATCCAGCCTGCACGCTGCTTCCCCTGGGCCCTGAACTCACCTCTGACAGGAGCTCCCCCAACCTCTTTAGCAGAACAACCCATAAAACCTGCCACCAATGATGCCTTGAAGAAGCCAAAAAAGCAGGGAAGCAAGGAAACAAATAGCAATTTACAGGCACATGTGTGAGAGATTAAATGCAATGGAGAAGATGGATTATAAAGAAACCCTAGGAGAGCCCAGCTTCGCCTGCTCCCCAGGGACTGAAACTGCCCCCAGATCTGCTGGGAATCATGGTGCCTCCAGGACAGGAGCATCCCAGGCAGCCAACACACACTTCCCCCTGCCAGTGTGTCCCACCTTTGCCAGAGCAGGGCCATCTCTGCGGATAAGAGAGGCGTTCAGCACCTGTGGCCCATTTGAGTCTTTGTCTCTCTGTCGAGATGAGGCACCTGCCACCAGGAGCTGAACTGAGACCCATCAAACTCATTGCACTGCTGGGAGCTTTGGGAGGAGATGCTCTTCTTTCAAGAGGTTTGGAATCATAGAATCATAGAATATCACTGTTGGAAGGGACCTCAGGAGGTCATCTAGTCCAACCCCCTGCTCAAAGCAGGACCAATTCCCAACTAAATCATCCCAGCCAGGGCTTTGTCAAGCCGGGCCTTAAAAACCTCCAAGGAAGGAGATTCCACCACCTCCCTAGGGAACCCAATCCAGTGCTTCACCACCCTCCTAGTGAAATAGTGTTTCCTAATATCCAACCTAGACCTCCCCCAAGATGCCGGGCCGTAGGTTTGGCATGAACAATGAAAGGGAAAGAGCAGACCTGAAGGTCCAGGGGAGCTGGAACGGCAGGTAAGGGCAGCCTGGGGAAGGGAAGGAGTGTGCTTGGGGCCCTGGAGCTAGCTGGGGGCAGATGCAGCCAGACAGGGAGCTGAGACATCCCAGGAAGGAAGCCTGGTGATCCCACTGCAATAAAAGCCAGGAGAGGAAACCCACTGTGGATAAAAGAGAGCACAAGGCAAATAATGGAAGTGGTGGGCAGCAGGTTCTCCTCCTCCATGTACCCAAGAGGAGAGTGTGAATTCTGGGGAGTTGCACAGAAATAAAAACTGGGCTGACCCACAGCAAAGTATCAACTAATCAGTGGAGCTGTGATAGCTGGGGATTTCACAGACAGGCCAGGCAGCAGGAAGCACCAGGAATGCCAATGCCACCATCCCAGCACTGGTCCAAAACAGGCCTACAGAACAAGTTACAGGCTGGGAGTGAATAAAAACTGTCTGGCAGAGAACAGGCAGCAAACAGAAGACAGGGATCAGTATTTCCAGGAGCTTAATACTGATGTGCAGGAGAGGCAAATTCCCCATGGATTCATAGGCCCAGATAAGCACAAATGGGAGAGCCAGCATGGACTGTGAATCTAGATCTCCTACCTGGAGTGACAGAATAATCACAGTGCTTATAATCTGGGAGAGGGCAGCAGTGCAGAGAGAGAGAGACCTGGGGTTTAAACTGAGACACCTACTAAAATGCAACCGTGGCCCCTTTACCATGGATCGAAGGAAGCACGTTTTTACCCAGCCGCTAACCAGCGTGTGGAATTCACCGCTGCAGGACAGCACAGAAATCAGAGATGAAAGAGACCTGCATGTTGGGTCTAGGAACATAGGGCTGGAAGGGGCTGCCTGGGTCATGGAGTCCAGTCCCTGCTATCACAGGCAACCCCATCATCTAATCCCATTTATACAGTTATCAAGCTCCATCTTAGAACCAGTTCAGTTTCTTGCCCCCATTACTACTTTGGAGGGCTGGTCCAGAACCTCCCTCCTCGGACCGGTGGCCTATTCAAGGGCTTTAACTGGTCCGGTTTTAATTAGCTCAGACAATGGCCCTTTCCCTGGGAAACTTTCCCAGTTTAGTAAAACTCATTATTCCAAAACACTTCCTGCTATTTACCCCCACTGTCATTTGCTCAGTTTCATTCCCTTACTCCTGATTCTACCCCCTTTGTGCCCCCCTAAACTAGTCCTCTTTCTCCCTGATGTCTGTACCCTTCACACCTGTCCTATTACTCACCATGCGGTCGAGCAACATGGACGGTTCACTCAGGGCTAGAGCACAAAGGAACGTACTGCCTAGCCGCTTCTTTAAGTGCTCAACCCTTACAGTAAGGTGCAGTGGCTGAGTGGTTAAGGTGCTTGGCTACACTCCTGAAGGGAAGGGTGCCCTCCTGGTCACCCACCTGTAAAAGGGGTACCTGATCCATCAGGTTAGGGCAGTCAAAGGTGGTCAGCTGTGATGCTGGCCACATCACTCCTTTGTGTATCATTACCCCTGCAGCTCCAATGGCAGCGCAGTTGCATAGCAATTGGAGCTGCAGGGGGAATGCTCGCCCAGGTCGATGTACCTGCACTAGCTCTGAGCGAGCCAGGGGTCACCCAGCCTGTATCACCTGCGGACTTGATTCAGTGGGAGTGCTCTGAGCATGCGTAGCCCCCACAAAAGCTGGCCAGGACTGGTGCTGGAAGGGGGGTGCTGCAGGTGGTGGCAGCAGCAGCAGGGGCCCCCCGGCTGCTCGGCTCAGCTGTTCTCAACAGGGAAGGAGTGGTGCCGGGGAGATGGAATATCCTGCCCAGAAGTCCCATGCAGGAGAGGGCTGAGGACCACCCAGTCTGCTAGGCTGCCAGGGCCAGGTGCCAGGAACAAGCATTTTCCAGGCGTGGCTCCTTGCTACTAGGGGTCAGTGCTGCTCATGGGCTCTTGGGCTTGGGGGTGTCTCTCTGCAGCAGCTGGCTCCAGGCTGGGGAAGGGTGAGTCAATCACTGCTCCAAGGAGGCACCTGGCAGGAACACCAGGCTCTGGTGCCCGCCCCAGTGCCAGGACAGGCGACGTCAATGATAAATCCCCATCGCTCCACATAGGCTTGGCAAAATGAGTGGATCCCGCTGGCAGCTGAGGGGTTGGCTCTGCGCAGGTATCGCCTGTCTGGCTGAATGACTGTGAGAGAGAACAATAGGCTCACAGACTGACGGACAACCAGCCCTCTGTGTGTCAAGTGACAGGACTGGAACGCTGGGCCAGCTCCCCAAAAGAGCACTGGAGCAGCGTTCCAGTACGACTCGAGCGCCGGCTGGATGGGGTGTCTTGTTATGCTCCAGTGAGGGGCTGTGTGTGTCAGTGGAACTCGAGTTAGGGTGACACCACTGGAGTTATATCCTGATTTTGCAGTGGAGACAAGCCCTTCGTCACCAGCCCTCTTTACACCTTGCCTGTGTTTGAGCCAGAGGCAGAGGGTAGAACAGAAGCAGGGGACGGGACTAAATGATACTGATGTCTCTCCTGTCATGGAACAGTCTGGAAAATAAATGTCATGTGATCTCCCACAGCAACATCTCAACAACAAAAAGAACTGACTATACAACTACCTAAAGTGCTGGACGGCATCAGCAGCAAGGGACCCAACTGCAGGAGTGATGGGATGAAACTGAGCAAAGGAGCATTCCGGTTGAATATCAGCCAATCTTTGCTAGCCCATTGAAGCTCTCCCGAGGAAAGGAGGCTGGATTCAATGGGATCTTGCTTTTGTTACTTGTAAAAGAGGCTCAGGACACCCCTCGGCTGTGGTAGAACCCCAGTGCCACTAGTGGCAATCTTTCTTCTGCCAGAGGAATGACGGACAGTGCAGCCCTCCAGCCACTTACTAACCAGAACATTATTTCCCCCGCCCCAGTTAGCTTCAATGTGCAACCTCTTAAAAATCCTGTCCTTCTCCCCTCCATGGAATTCCCCCTTTCACACACTGGCAGAGTGGGCAGACTTAGGGTCTGGCTACACTGCAGCTGGAGGTGTAATTTCCAGCTTGGATAGATGCACACAGGCTAACTGTGCTCACGTTAGCATGCTAAAAATAGCCATGTAGCTGCAGCAATGCGGGGGGTCAGCATGAGCTCGCTACCCGAGAACAAGCCTATCTGAGACCCCGGGCTACCCCATGACACCACCTGTGCTACACTGCTGTTTTTAGCCTGCGTATGTCGACCCAAACCAGAAAGTACACTGCCAGCGCCAGCGGCAGTGTAGATGTCCCCTGAGACAAACATTTGCTGGATTTGCTCCAGCCAGGCATTGCTTCCCCCAGACACACATTGAGAATGAGGGGCATTCAGGGCCGGCGCTTCCATTTAGGCGACCTAGGCGGTCGCCTAGGGCACCAGGATTTCGGGGGGCAGCATTTTGCCGCCTTTGGCGGCAATTCTGCGGCGGGGGGGTCCTTCCGCGCTCCGGGTCTTCGGCGGCAATTCTGCGGCGGGCCCTTCACTCACTCCGGGACCCGCCGCCGAAGTGCCCCGACGACCGGGAGCGCGGAAGGACCCCCCCCCGCCACAGAATTGCCAACGACAACCAGGAGCGC